AAGGTTTATTAGGGCTTTTAGGGTTTATTAGGGTTTTTTAGGGGTTTTTAGGGTTTTTTTAGGGCTTAGGGTTTAGGGCGTTTTGGACTTTTTGGGCTTTTGGGGTTTAGGGCGACCCCATCCAAACGGGACCCTCTCCAATTCCTAGAGACCTCAATCTCATGTGCAATCGTGCAGCGAGCCCTGCAAGGTGGACGTGATGGGCATGTTCTTCACCGCTCCCGGTGCCTAAGCTGGCTTGATGCGAAGGGTGGATTCCCCTTTTCATATACACACACACATATATATATATTTGTGTATAGCTGTTGATGTATGTTTCAATGCAACTGTTTTAGGGTCTTTGTTTATGTCTAGGTGCTTAGACTAGAAAGGTATTGGTTTCCTATATCTGATCTAAACCCTATCTTGAACTACCATAACCTACTGATGTGTAGGTTCTTGTTGTATTGTCAACCCTCCTCTAGAAAGTTTGGGGACCCTGCAAAAACAGTAGGTTTCGGTAGTTCACTGTTACGATCGCCTTCCTCTTTCAAATTCTCCGAGTGAGTGTGGTTTGCAGCCCCTTTGTCGGGGGTAATTCTTCTCCGGATTCCTAGTTGGATTTACAGTGGGTTTAGAACCCGTTCCTCCGATCTCCGCTTCTTGCTACCTAAACCCCAAACCCAACAGATGTGATGCTCTGCCTACCCTAAACCCTAAAAGCCCTAAACCCTAAAGCCCCCAAAGGCCCTAAAAGCCCTGAAAGCCTAAAGCCCTAAAAGCCCTAAACCCTAAAAGCCCTAAAAGCCCTAAACGCCCTAAACCCTACACCTCCCTTGAGCCGAATCTCCGCCCATCTCCGAGTGATGGTCCCCTACGGCCAACAGATCGGTGCCTCGACGGCGGAGATCGCGGGCTTCACCACCGCCGGGGGGCCCTGGGGGTGGGTCCCTTCTTCTGAGGGGCGTGTATATGTCCTTATATATTTAATGTATCATATGTGTACATCTATACATACAGACTTCAGAGGTGTATTTATATGGTATAGATCGATAGATAGGAGCCCGATACCTTCTCGCGAGATACCCTGTGATGAGAGCCGAGAAGCCTTGCATGTTCAGGGGCATGTTGCAACAGTTGCAGACACATATCGATATTCTTCTTACCACCTTGCACCGCTCTCTTTCTGCAGCGTTTGCACATGACATGCCGGATGGAAGGAGACATACGAATGATACTGGTGGTTCTTAGTATGGCTGTCATCATTGGATGTGGTTGTGGTTGTTTGATGTTGTCACGGGTGAGTGTTGTTACTTTCCTGCTTGACACGATATAAGAAAGGCATTGCTTGTTTGCGTGTGCTGGTTGAATTGTGTTTTACTTTGATTTGTGCATGCATTGATGGCTTTACTTGTATTGCGGATATACTTGTGGTTGTATATGTACATCTTCCGTGTGGGTCTGTCTTTTGGTCCTCTCACCTGCTTTCAAGCTCTTTGCCTGCACTCCTTGTCATCATGGTCAGCATATATCAGCACCATCACCAGCATCATCGCCGTCATCCTTGTGAGCGCAGGCAAGCCTTATTGTCCTTGTTATCTTCTGGATGTGGCGGCCCGGTGAGCAGTGCTTGCACGGCTCGACCATGGTTCGACCATCAGGATAAAGAGAAAGGCCTGGGGGAGAAGGAGTGTTCAAGTCACGAAGCTGGGCAGGTGCGCTTCAGCATGGCCGTGATCTCGCTGCTATGGATGCCCAGGCTTGCAGACACCAAGGGCGTGCCCCTTGGATGCAGCTCGTAGAAGGGAGTCGTCGTGGATGAAGGGGTGGGCGCTGTGGAAGACTCTTTGAAGGGTCTGCTGAGCCTCAGGAAGCTATGCATCCTGATCTCCGTCTTCGGAACCGCCATCGCCTACGGACTCCAGGGGAACGCTTATCTCTTTAGCGGCTGCGAGCGGCAGCTGCATTCCATGCGGCCTGGAGATTCGATGAACCTTTGGGAGGGGCACGAGCGGCCTGGCACCAAAAAGAGCAAAAGCGGCTGCCCGAGGGCCCTCATCAGGGCCTCTTCTTTTGCGCTTCTCTTTCCTTTTGTTTTGCTGCTGTCGTTGCTGGTTTTTTGGCTTCTCTTCTCAGGTGCATCGTGGTGAACGGGACCGTCGGCATTGTAGAGAGCATTGGAAACAGCTCAGAAGTGGGCCTTGCGACAGCCTTGGGCTCTGGAGGCCAAGTTCGGGCCAATCCTTCTCGGAACAGTCGCAACAGAGCTTGCGCAGGAGTGCTCGAGTGCACGGAGGACTGTGGCAACAAGGTGCAACCATGGGTTCATTGTTTTAAAGCTCCTTGAAGCTCAATGTGTCCAGACTGGCCAACGATCCTAAAGCCTGGGCCCAGACTCTGCAGTAGTGGCGCATCGTCGCAGGGGATGCACGCTTGTGAAGCGTTGGGTACCTCAGAGGATTGCTATGTCAGGGCTCCTCATCCAAGCACGGAGAAAGAGGATACGGGAATCGAGCAGCGAGGTGTGGAGTCCCGTATATTTTTCGATTTTGCTGAGGAAGAGAGGGCGTTAATGCACATGAACAAGCCAGGGCCTAGCAGTCCGAGCAGCACCACGAAAATCCCTACCTATATATATATATATATAAATATATATATATACACACATACATACACCCTCTATGTACAATGAGCCCAAAGCACCACCTAGGCCCCACCCCTAAACCCTAAATCCCAAGTTCCTGGAAGTTTTCCCTTTCTTGGCAGGCTGGTGTTTATGTGATGATGGCGGGCCGGGCCTTGGCCGGCTTCTGGGCTCTTGTCAGGAGATGTAGATCTAAGTTGCCATCATTTGAAAACCATAAAAAATTTCCTATAGAGCCCCATTGTGGTATACCTTAAATACACTTTAAGCTACCATAATAAAGAGACCATATTATTCACTCCAGATCCTTTTTTATGGTATACCTCAAAAAAAGAATCCCTTAACAAGAACGCAGGCTTCTTTGGCGGCACGCAGCCCGTTTTGCGGGCCTACGTCACGCAAATCTCCCTCCCGAACATGGTCTGCGCCTTAGACGCTTCGCCCCCTCTGCGCGCGGTGTTTTTCTTTTTGTTTGTGTTTAAGGTTTAGGGTTTAGGGTTGACAGGGTGGAGCAGGGCTGATATGTTATGAGGTTTTCAAGTTTAGTTAGGGGGCATCGCGGCATCTCTCGGCATCTTAGAGCCCAGGCGCTTGTGAAGCTTCGCAGCACGGCGCGGCTCTGCTTTCGATCGGAGCTCCTTCGTCTTGTTATTGTTAGCCTCTCGTCTTGGCAGGTCCTCTTCGCATCCATGCAGGCACGGGGCGGCCGGGGAATGAGGGGTTCAGGGGGCTCTATAGACCATTGCTCTACTCCATTTTGCTTTAGGCTGGGAACTTCGCCCTTGCTCCCATTGCCGGCGTCATCAGCCGGGGCCCCATTAAAGCGGGAGCGAGTCCCCTCATATCAGCTCTCCGTTTCGAAGCCTCAGGTCGCTTTGGCTTACATTGGTTGGGGCCCTTGGGAGCTGTCCTGGCTCGGAGAGCTCAGAGAGTCAGCGATCGCTTTAACTGCGCGCGCGCGAGGCCGTGGTACGTCTCCACTGGCGTGGCGGTCTTGTGCAGGGACCTGAGTAATTTTTGCGATCTGCAGATTGCACAATTTAATGGGATTCAGGGCATTCTGCATGCATCCCGCGCGGATCTCGTGCTAGGCTGTTTAGACTGGCATCGCCGCAAAAAAACGGATTTGCTGATTTAATTACTCCGCTCTGAGCGAGGCTTGGTCTTCGTGACCGCTTTCTTCAAGAACAAGGAGGAGCTTCAGACTCTCGAGACTCTCTAGAACGCCCTCGAATGAAACGAACTGCTTGCGGCCCCCTGCGATATATCCGCAGGACATAGTCATGCAATCGAAGAAGAAGGTCGACGCGGAGGAAGGTGAGCAGGCGACACCGCAGTGTGATTCGCTCTGTGACCCAGAGAACCCAATACCCCTTTATTTAAGGAACAGACCTTAAACTAGAGGGGCCTCACTATCATGATTTAACGTATATTCCTTAACTAAGGGGTATTGGGTTCTCTGGGATGTCCTTGAAGCACGACGGGGGTGGCTCGTGCCTTCCGAACAGAGCCCCACGCCTCACTAAGCAGGTTTATACTTCTTCTTTTTGGTGTTTCGGGGGGCTTGTTAGAGATCCGAGAAAGGCTCCATACTATATTACTATAAGGGTGTGAGAGGGCTGACGGTTTTTTTGTGTGGTTTTGCGGTGTGGCGTCGGCTGCAGGTAGCGGAGCCCGTGGCGGCAGCGCCCACGGTGACGCCTCATGTCGGCCCACCACCCATCAAGGCAGGGAGTCGGGTGGAGGAGGTTGGGGCCTTTGAGACCGGGTGTCTGGTCGGATTCATGGTCCGCCTTCCCGTTGCAGTTGGCTTTGTCCAACTGTGCCATGCGAGGATAAGATCCTCTTGCTGATGCTGTGGCTTGGTGGCCTCCGGAATCCGCCGAAGTCGGGCCTGAGCCTGAGCTGCGTGGAATTCTGAGGCTGGCTTACTGGTGTGTCTTTCAGTGCGTCGCCGCACCCTGGCTGCAATTGGCGCACAAAGATTCTTCCAGGAAAGAGAACCCCGGTTGGCTCAGGCTTTGATACTGTTGTTGCCTTTGCTCCTGGAGTACGAGAGCTTCGGTCTCATGGACCCAACCTCTCTGGCCGCCCGGCGAAACAAAGAGAGGAGGTGGTGGGCGGGGACGTGTGCATCCTACAGTCCTACACAGTCCTACACGCCCCTGCATGACGAACTCAGGAGAAGTCGCGCGAGAGTTTGGCAGCAGCAACATCCATGGCGCCTTGACTTGTGAGCCGCACCCTATAAGCCTCAACAAAAAAAATCCCAAAAAAGTCCTGTATCCACCGAAGGCTGAACCCGAGAGCCCCCTGAGAAGTGAGTATAAAACCTCCCGGTCCGAAATTCCCCGCCTAAACTTTAAACCGTGGAAGGTAATGGTACCGCACGGGGTCGCGAACTTCGCGATGTCCACCGTCGGCTTCCTCATCCTCTCCTCCAAAATCGGCGACCGCGTACCCTGCTCACCGTGGGCTTCGGTTTGGGGTTTGGGGTTTTAGGGTTTATGGTTTATAGGGTTCAGGGCTTTCGGTTGAGTTCGACGCTGACCCTCAGATCGCCAATCTGCAGGCCACCATGCGGGTCGGCGCGACGCTGGCCCCGGCCCTCAGCACGGCCAGTGCAGTGGAAGAGCAGAACAGAACTTCAATCTTCAAGAAGGCTGTGGAGAGTAGTTCTCTAAGTTAGGGTCCTTGTTTGGGTCCCCAAGATAGTACGGCACCCTTATAAAAGGGACCCTAAGTTAGACAACTGCCCATGAGAGAAAGCGCTAGAACACTAGAGATCTCTTGCGGCGTCTTGGTTTTCGGGAACTGAGGCTGCCGTGCTGCTTTGCTTCTATGGCTATGCCTCGAGCCGCTTCGATTCAGACTTTCAGACTTGAGCAATAGTAGCAATAGTACATAGAGTCATATGTGTAAAAAGTATATACATACACAAATACATAGGTACATCTCTATATATATATATATGTATGTATATATGTATATGTATATATGTGGTTTCATACGGTTTAATGATGAAGACAGGGACCGTCGTATATAGACTCAATCTCCGGGACGTTGCAGGAGCCCGGCGTTGCTTTCGGTGCTTAGGGCTATTCTTCCTGATTCGGCTTTACACCCAAGCCCTAAACCCTAAACCCCTAAACCCCAAAGCCCTAAAGACTGTTGCTCCCCTTTTTAGGCGAGCTGTGGCACCTCCTCGTGCTGCACGGCTTCGTCGGGGTCGGCTTGGGCCTGATGGTACCGGCCATCGCACCGACGCTGCAGCGCTACAACACGCTGGCGCACCTGGGCTCTTCTAAGCAGTTTCGCATTGTATTTGTTGCCATAATACAAAAAGGTGAAAAGTATACGGAAAACATTGCATCCAATAGGCTTTTCTTACTGTGGTATTTGTTTACGAAGTTAAGACTTAAGATTTCTAGCAAGCCAGGCACCCAAAGCCTTAACCCCTAAAACCCTGCACCCTAAACCCCCTACGCCTATGCCAAGCCAGGCATCCAGAGAAGACCTCACAAGCCGCCGCCCTGCCCCTGTTCGGTATGCAGCTGGGCCAGGCAGGGCAAAGGAAGGGCTGAAGCATGCGTCAGTTTGTGCTGATCATCGCCGTATGATATGGCTACGATAGATGTTGGCTCTGGGCATGTGGCTTGGGCTTGGTATTGTCATATTATGGTTATGATCGTTAGAGGAGTTTCATAACCACCACTATCCATCACTACGCCACTACGCCCTACTATGAGGGCTGTATGTGTGACGCCACGCAGATGCGAATTTTCGGGTTGACGCTCAGCCCGGGCCTGCTCGGCCAATAATAGGCCCTTCCCTAGCCGACTGGAGCATCAGATTTTCGACAGAGCTGTAAAGCCTCGGAAATGGATTTAAATACGGAATGACAGCAATGATAGTGATAGTAATAGTAACAACAACAATAACAATAAGAATAACACTAGTAATAATAACAATAATAGTATAGTAATAATAAGCAGAAGAACAATAACACTAACATCGTTATACATTGGGCTTGCAGGGCTCAGGGCTTTCAGAGGGTCCAAGAAGTGGAGCTCAGATCTTCGGGCCGCTGCTCTTCGGTCCGGGAGCTCGGGCGAGTCTTCCGCAGGAGCTTTCAGGGTTTAGGGTTTCGGGTCTAGGGCTTCAGGGTTTTAGGGTTTAGGGTTCAGGGTTTTAGGGTTTTAGGGTTCAGGGTTTTAGGGTTTATGGGTTTATGGTTGGGCAAACCCACCGCAACCGCCCGAATGCTCAGCGACACTTGGCACGGACAACTCGCGGCACGACCAAGAGATTCTACTCAACGGGCACAGACAAAGCTGTTCTCATGCTTTGTGCACTGGAAAGCGGTTGGACAACTGCTCTGAGCGCGGCTTGACCCAACGTTGCACATCATGGCACTTTCGTTGGCCACCAACTTTGCGCGGTATGACTTGTCATACCCGGAGGTTCGCCGCAACAAAATCGCGCTCCTTATGGGCGTGTAGCCCGAAGAATCTCCGTAACAAAGTGGCGCGCTTCATGGGCGTGTAACCCGAAGAATCTGTGTAACAAAGTGGCGGTCCTTGTGGGCGTGTAGCCCGAAGAATCTCTGCAACAGAGTGACGTGTCTGACGTCTGCCGTTTTCATGGCCCAACCCCAGCAGGCACAGCACGAACAAAAGACGAAGCACTTGACCCCGCAATGCAGGCAGATGCGAGTGCGTAAAGGCAAGCTTGAGGCTGCGACCTGACAGGAGCTACGAGGGCGTCTCAAGATATATACGTTCACGGTTTAGGGTTTAGGGTGTAGGGTTTCGGGTTGGGGCTTTGGAGACTAGGGCTTCGGGGTCAGGAAGGTTAAGGGTGTTTAGGTTTTTTAGGGTAAGGCTTTGGGGTTTTTGGAGGATAGTTTTTGTGCGGTCGTGGACTTCATGGGACTAAGAGTTCAATCCAGTGCATGAAGCATGCAAGAATCCAATTTGTGATGCTAGCAAACTTCAACGCTGAAGCCTTACATTGTTTCATGTCGTTACGTTATGGGTGCAGGACGTTAAGTGTGACACTGCCCACCCCTATCGCTAGGGCCCCTAGCTGTCGCTGTTTGTCTCCAGAAGTCCTTCTCCAGTCTATAAGCCCTCTGCGCTCGAACCCACAGCCTTAAATCCCCTACAGGCCCCAAATGCCCCAAAGCCTTTGCGAGCCTTTTGGGCCCCTGAACTCAACCCTAAACCCTAAACCCTTGGCCCATGACAGTGATGGTCCCAGGGGTTGTGGAGTAGACAAGGTCATTGGTGAGGGAAGATGATGACGGCGGCGACGCTGAAGATGAGGGTCGACGACGTGAGAAGTGAGAGGGTGTCTAACTGGTGCTGGGGCCAGCCTTCCACACCGACCTTCACTGTTAGGTGGAAAACTGTGCTTAACAAAATACCCTGAACCCTAAACCCTAAACCTGGCCCAGGTCTGATCACGGGAGACACGCAGGATCGTAGTCGGATGAACCTGGCCTGGCTCGTGGCAGGCGCCTTTTCTTTTTTGGTGTTGTGGGTTCTTCGGGGTTTAGGGTCTTAAGGTTTTGGGGTCTAGGGTTTAGGGTTTTAGGGGTTTAGGGTTTTAGGGTTTTAGGGTTTTAGGGGATTGCAATCGTGTTTTCACGCTGGTCGCTGTTTCGGTGGCCGGCTGCCTTGGTGCTACTGTAACACATAAGCAGAATGCCTGAAACGGCGGAACTCCATCCAGAACCGAGAATCGTGATAGTGACGAATCCGAACAGCTGCTGAATGTAGAAGAGAGCCTGCCCGATGTCTCTGAACTCTTGGACACTTTCCATGCTTGATGCATGTCCGCAAAGGTCATGGCTGAACCTTAGCAAACTTTCGCGAAGAGTAGATGGGAACGATGTGTCCCTGAAGAAGGCCAATTCGGCGATTGAAGCCTGGCGTCTTCCTCTTGAGCACTATTGGCGTAAGGGCATATTGCAGCAAGCGGCTAGCTGGAAACGCTCCCGTGCACAGGCGGAAACACTTACACTGGTTGCGAAGTGCCCAGCCCTTTCTCTCGTCCCAAAAGAAGCTGACCCTAAACCCTAAACCCTGAGGAGGGCGGGGACACCCGATTTTGTTGCTTTCTCCGAGTACTCTTCAGGGCTCAGCTTCCTCACGGGCATGTTGCTGATGGACTTTTGCTTCACTCTCATCTCGCGACATCCCGCCGGGCCCTCTGTGCCTCACGGCGGCCATGGGGCCAGATAATTGGAGAAGTTTAGGGCGTGGGATTTTGAGAAAGGATCAGGGAGACAGGATCAGAGGGGGGTCTAGGGTGTCAGATTTAGGGTTTATAAGCTCTGCAAGGGAGTTAACGTTTATATGGTTTAGTTATAGGGTGGTCATGCCTTCAATTCGCAGGTCATGCGGAAGCTGACATATACGCCGGAGCAGATCAAGACGATGCTTGAGACCAACGCGCAGGATCTGGGGAGCAGAGTCAGAAGCGTCTCGTGTCGAGGCTTTTTGGCTCCTGGGCTTCCTGGGAATTCGGGTTTCTCCACCGCCTTCTCTCTTCAAAGCAAGGGCCATTGTAGAGTTCAACAGAATACGCAGATAGGGTTTCCAGGCTTTCCTGGCAGTCGCATCATCTCATCCTGAGAAGTTAAGTTGGGATCCCCGGAAGAAACCGAGGAGGAGGAAGTCTTCGTCGACGACATGCGGGGAGCCTAGCGGCCAAGTGGCCTCATAGCCCAAAAATGTCAGAAACTCAAGAGCCAGAGATGCTCACGACAGCTTCCTCTTCCTATGACCACCGAAAGGGTGCCTGGTCAGCTGCTACCCTGGACGGTCTTGCTGGTTGTTTTCGCTATTGCAATACGAGCTGCAGCAGTCCTTTCAACAGGGAGAACCAAGAGACCAAGCGAAGCTGTCGACACATGCAGCAGAGACATCATAAGCACTGAAGCACCAGCACAGGTGCAAGCTGCTGCGTGGAATGCTCCCCGGCCAGACCTGTCAAGACGGCGGAGGGAAGTGCTGCGGTCGTATCGGGCGCGCGCGCGCGATGGCTTCCACAGCTGTGTTGAACGTGCGAGGCTGACGCAGGGCAGCCCAGAGTACAGAGGCCCGGACCCGGGAGCATCCACGTGTCAGTCCCATTTCCTCAACCCTCCCGGCTCCTGGGAAGCCCGCCTGAAAGTCGTATACAGATATGAATGATCTGAACTTAAAGGCGGCACAAAGAGACGAAAAAGCCCGCTGGCAGGGATCAAACTGTGGTCTGGCGTCGCGCAGAGGTGTCGGGTGCAAGTGCAGTCGCTGGTTTGGTTGGGGTCCTCTTTCGACTTGGTTTTATGCGAGGGGGCGTACATCTTGGCTCTCCGGTAGCTCCTGTGACTTTCGGTAAGGTGACGAGCTTAGGGAATTAGTCTGTGAACGAGTTGTGATCTTTCCCTTCTAGCCTAAAAAAAAAGGCTTTCAAGCAGTTCAACTCGTCTGGAAAAATAGCCGCCTGTAGAGACCCCAACACCCCCAAACGCTCTAAGGGACCCTCGCCTCGCGACCTCAACCGAAACCTAAACCCTATAAACCCTAGAAACCTAAACCCCTAAACCCTAAACACTGAACCCTAAACCCTAAACCTGAACCCGCTCCACGCACGCCCGGATCGTCGAGAGGTTCGTGGCGCGAGTTCTCCGAGAGACCATCCCAAAGATGCGCGAGGATCCCGAAGAGCACCTGGAGGACCCCAAGAAGGGGTTTAGGGGTTTAGGGGTTAGGGTTTAGGGGTTTAGGGTTTAGGGTTTAAGGCTTCCTAGGGATTCAGAGGAATTGGGTTTTTCTCACAAAAAATTACGATTCCGATCCTTTTGCCTGTTGCACCTTGCGAAATGCCCTGCAGTTGGTCTCCAAGTCAGCGAAGTTTTCCCGTAGACATACCCCGAGCTTTGGCCCAGTTGAGGGCGAAGCATCAGGGCTAAAGAGCCATTGGCGTTCTGCTAGGACGTGGCTGCATGGATCGCCAAAGTTGGCACAGATGCAGACTTGGACTACTTCCATGCCAAGTTCCCTCATATCCCACGGCACAGAAGGCAGCGAAGCATGTGACATCTCTGTCGGATGACTGTGGCAGCATTCGGTTGTTGTTGAAGCGTCTTTCTGAGAGGTGGCAAAGCGATGCCTACGTGGGAGAGCAGCAATTCAACGACGTCGCCGGCATCTCGGGAAAGTGAATGCAGCGAACGCAGTTTTTTAAAATGGAGTCTTTTGAGTTTTCTGGAGAAGAGAAAGCGGGCGTCCTTCGTCGATGGCTGGTGCGTCCCACTTTGCCGTGTTGCTTTGCTCTCGATCCAGGCTTGTCCTTCTCAGTGTTCCACTGCGGAGTCTTCCCTCTTTCCGCACTTGCAAGCATTGCAAGCCTGGGAGCTTCTACTGTTTCCGTCCCTTTCGGTGAGGTTTCATCAGCATTGTGTTGCTGTCGTCATACTTTGGAGTGTTGCTGCAGGCACAGTCAAGCACAACCTGACGGTCGCCAGTATGACGGTAGAGCTACTGATGTTACTGCTGATGTTGTTGTTGATGATGATGATGATGAAGAAGAAGATGATGATGTTGACGATGATGATGACGATGACGAGGCGGACGGCAGGACGGCCCTTCAACAATGATGAGGAGAAGGAGGAGGAAGAGGAGAATGAGGAGGACGATGATGCCTTCGTTGACAACGAGAACGACACGTGTAACGGCAATGACGATGAAGCAGAAGGTGAGGAAGATCATGGGGAAGAAGAAGACGATTCCATTGACGATATGGCAATGCCTGTGATGCTGCCCTTCCTGCTGATTGCAAGGGATGATGGTTATGCTGCTGATGATGATGGTGATGACAAGTATGATGAGCAATATGTAGGACGTGCGGTGAAGCGCGGGACGATGATGCTTTGGATGATGAGGACATTGAAAGTTGCTCATGGTGCTGATGACAGCAATGGTGATGAGTGGCGATGATAGTGCAATGGTGGCGGGAATGGTGACTGTGAAGGCGATGAGGACGACAGCTGCGATGAGCCTTAGTTTGATGATGGCTGATTCTGTTGCTTCTGCTCATGATGCGCATGTTACTTGTGAGAACTGTTTTTCACAGCTCATTTCCACCGCCGCCGCTGCCGCCGCCCCCGCCACCGCCACCGCCACCACCAGCTATGCCTTTGCTATCGGGAGCACTGCGCCATTATCACCATCGGAGCAACATCCGCATCATCCTCATGGCCAGTATCATACCTCACCACTAGGGACTACATCACCACCACCGGCAGCAAGATATAACATGGGTACTCACGATGTTTCTGAGGCCCGTGCGACGTCGGGCCCATCCGTGACGGCAGCAAAGTGACGCACCGTAGGTGCTGCAATTCTGCGGTTTTAGTTTACGAAATAAGTGCCACCAGGGTTAAAGGTCAGTTTTGATGCGGTCTCGAGGTAAGCGGCATGAGTCGTGAGTCTGCCGCTGAAGACTTTGGCGAGATACGTCCTTTTCGTGCAGTGGGTGTTTTGCGTTACCATCGCGATCATGTAGGCTCATAGGCGATCTATGTGCAATTAATTACCGAAAACATCATCATCATCATCATCATTATCATCATCATCATCGTCATCCTGGTCGCTGCACATAGGTGAGCAGTGATCTACTGCAGCTGACCAAACCCAGGTGAGGCACTGCGGTCCTCAGTGGACCCCTCGTTCCCCTTGATGGCTTAACTCTCTCAAAGAGAGAGTTCTTTCCCTCGGGAGTGAGTTTTGCCGGGTATCTTCAACGCCCGATTCGCTGCGACGCGAATTGTGGCTCTTTCAGAAGAGCTCATCGCGGATGCATGTCATGTTCGAGCAGTGTTTCCAGCTTGACAGGTTCGGCCAGCTTCGGGTCGTCTTTTCCAGGCTGTTGCTTGGACCGGCGAAAAAAAACCGCAATTTGGCCCACGGGGAGGTCCTTTTGTTGCCTTCGCTGCTTCGCTTGCTGTCTCCGTGCCTTCATTCCGACTCTCTTTCTGCATCCCGCTGCCACGGGCTGGGCCAGAGCTTGTCGCGTCGCGCGCCGCCGGCCTCCTGCAAGTGTGACAGGGAAAATGGCGCCAGCCAAAGCAAGCGCGAAGACATCTGCCACACAGGCCCGAAAAAAAGAGCGGAAGGGCAGTGTAATTGACAGAGATGCCCCCCCCCCCCCCCT